AAGAACATTTTTCGGTGGCTACCCGGATTCGAACCCGGGACCTTTTGAATGAGAGGCCAACACCTTAACCTCTAGGCCACGAGAGCCCCCGTTATGATGATGATGATCTTTTCTACCATTACCTTTATTATCACTGTTATCATTTTCATGCAGGCTTCATAATCCATGGCTACTTTTTTTTTCTTTTTTTTGTTTTTTGTTGTATCCTTGTGTTTCCAGCCTCCTCGAAAAGGTCACTTATTCCCAGTCACAGGCTTTATCGAAGATCCTTTCACTCCAACCCCTCCCCCCCCCCCACCCGGCCCCACTCCTTCAAGAAAGGAGATTTTTTAAAATTAAAAGATAAGTAGATAAAGCAATAGCCCCATAAATAAATCAGTGAACTGATAATGATTTTTATTTTGAGACATGTTAGGTCTGGTGTGTTGTAGATAATGGTTTAAAAAAAAGACCCAACACGTTTTTTCTATTGATTCGCAGGCTTTCAGCTCAACCATGAAACAAGCGGGCTGCACTGACTCCGACATAGCGGACATGAGACAGGCCACGTGTGGCGCGTCCACGGCTGTGGTCAGCTGTCTTCTCCTCCTGGCCTTGTCTGCTCTGGCCAAGTGGCTGCTGAGATAGACGCCGTTAGTTTCTGACTCTAGTCTAAACGTGGGGCCAATAAATCAGGCCACATACACTTTATGTCACTAAGCATTGCTATTCACAACCGTAATTAGGAATGATGATGCCATAATAAGGTTAAGGAAGGTACAAAATAAATTTTTAAGCTATTTTGGAAGACAATAAAAAATAAAAAACTACAACCCTCCCCTTCCGGTCGAATTACCGAAAGAGAAATAAAAAATGAATAAATAAACAAATGAATAAATGAATGAATAAATAAATAAATAAATAAATAAATAAATAAATATCCTAATTTAGAGGATACACTGTAAAAGTCGAACATCGAAGCACCAAGGCTTACAAAGCTGCAGAAATATGAAATAATGCAGTGCCTATAAATTAATCCCCCCCCCAAAAAAAATGTAAAAAAAATAAATAAATTTTATCCTCTCTCTATCTGATGGGATGAAGGAACCAAACTGGATTACCACTTGACTTGAAGAAAAGGCTCTCCTGGAAGTATTCCAAAAGCCAAAAGACGTCACCCTAGAAAGCGAACTATCAGGCATAAATTAACTCTGACCCAGAAGTCAGTTCAGACGTCAACTCCTTAAGGACGAAGCAAACACAATAAATGTCCGACCAGCAGCAAACCAAGGGCAATGTTGAGGCACATTTCGAACTACCATGCACAAACCAGAAACACGAATTTGAATATTTTATAGTATGCATGTTGTTGCTTGTCTTATTTAAGGTTCAGCTACAGGACCCAATTGAAAAAAACCTGTTTGAATAACGAAGTTACTAAGCTTCTATTTTTTACGTGCCCCAAAACAGCGTGTCTTCAAACTTTAACAAAACACGCACCAACAATGAGTTACAGCTTTTGTACTATGATGAATAATATAATGTCCCACACATGATTTAAATGTATGAAAAAGTCATCAAGAACGGTGGCTATATGAAAACAAAAACGTTACTGTACGTGTGCTTCTTTTTAATCATGACATACTCTACAAGACAAGGCTGATGCTGCAGCTCATCTGAGTGTGAGTGCGGGAGAGAAAACAGGTCGACACACGCCAATTCCGGAAAAAAAGAATTTTGAGAGTCCACATGCCTGGTGTTTATTTGAAAAAAGAGGAGGCTCATCAACACCGTTACAGCCATAATGCATCATAATGCAGGCAAGAAGTAACATTGACAGACAGAAAAATACTGAGGAAAAAAACAGAAAGTAGCCTTTGACCTACTACTGGCAGCGTCCTGCAACCACACACAGACATATGTGCCAAGCTGATTGATTATTTTGATTTTATTGTTGACTGCATTTCTGTTTCTGTCTGTGCTGATATATCCTTGTGTGTGT